TAAAATTTCCTGTTTTTTGTGGTATTTTCACAGCTAAAAAAAACAGATATTAGAGAGGTAAATCTAATATATTATCTATAATAAAAAGGCTTCTGAAGCAGTTATTTTAAATATCATTCATGTGAAAGAATATATTAAAGGTTCTTTTTATAAATTTGTATGATTGAATTTGTGCTTATTCAAAAGACTGAATGGCTTTAAAACATTTCAGTTATTTTTTATAATGCAGATTTCTTTGTTTCCCTGGCACAAGGAGGGGAATAAATAACAACAACAACAACAACAACAAAACATCCGTGTTGGCTACTGGCCAAATTGATATTTAAACATCAGCATAAGACAATAATTTTACCAGTACGTCCCAATAAATCAAGTCTTGTTTCTATAAATGAAATAAATGCTCCTAAATCAATTTGAAGAATTAATCCGAATCAATTAAATGCAGTATGTTATTAATTAACAGAATAACAGGCCTGACATGGGCATAGACGTCACAAATGTAACCTGCACTACAACTCTGCTCACCCACTGTATGTGATCTGATGCCACTGCTCTCTGCTATTAGGAGTCAAGACTTGTTAAATCAAATGTACAACTGTCATTACAGGGGCGGGGCTTCCATCTAGCAGCTAACAGGTTCCAACAAATACACCAAAACAACATGTACATAAATGACATTATTTAATAAAACCTGCTGTATGCAAACTGCAGTGATGCATGCTGCACTGTTGCAAACACGAGGACGCTTTGAGTTGAAGATGTCGACGCAGGTTTGGAAATGTTATTATGCTTTGTTACAGTGAAGGCAGACGATATCAGAAGAACTTCAAAGCTCTGTCAATGACCCAAATCTATTTGGGTCGATTTTCAAAAAAGTTTCAAGGCCTTGATCAGAAAAAGAAGAAATAAGAAAACCCTTCTGCCTCCCTCTGCTTCATAAAATCACATTAGAATTAAAAGGTGACCTGAGCCCAACATGGCCACGATATAAAGGCCCAAGTATATTTAATTCATTAGAATATTTAATTAAAAAATTACTCTGCCATAATGATTTAAAACTACCTAATTTGCAGACAAATGGTTTTGATCTATTTCCAACAGGTCAGACTGAACAGGTGACGCTCTGCTCCCTGTTTGGGTCTGAACCCAGGGGACGCAGACAGAGACAATCCCTGGCACTGACTCAGATACAGTTACACAATTCCTGTTCAAATCATCTGTGACTAGAGTTGGCTTGATTTCAGTTCTTGCTGGTCCGGACCGGTGTGCGAGCTTGACCCACTTTGATTTTATGCAAGCAGGCATTTGTCATTATGACACTTTCTGGCAAATGAAAAAGGAGCCTACATCAGCAACCTGTGCCGACAGCGTCACTGCACTGAATCCAACTCGTACTGCATTAATAAAAGGCTTTATGACAATGTGATTAACATAATGTGTTTGTTTATAGATGGACTAACAGAGCCACTAATGTCTGACGGGCAATGAGCAATGTATTGCCAAAGCTGGCAACTTGAAGGAGAGGGGGAATCTGCATGATGCACGTTGTTTCTTTACTAAAAAGTTCATGTGTTTTTTGGGGTGACGAGATCAGCTGCCTTGGCGGCTGTGGCGCCTCCTCACGACTTGCTTCTGCTATGTATTTGGTGTTTATTGGTGTTTGGTGAACCAGCTTCGAGGTGCATTACCACATTACCACCACCTGTGGCCTGGTGAAGCTACTCTCTCATTGGCTCTCTCAGTTGAGTGCTGCTGAGTCAAGTGTGACACGTAGTGGTAAAATTCAGCGTCCCCGGTAGGGCTGTCACGGTAACCACAGTATTGCAATACCAAGCAACCGCCAGTGACCACCCTCCTCCTGACACCGCAGCTTCTGTTCAGTAGGAACTTTCAATTTCTCTGAGCTATTTCAGATTAGTAGGATTTGATAAGTATAAAAAACAAATCATTGTCTTATATATAAAACTGTTTATTTCAATGTCTTAACATTTTTTTCAACATCAACACAGTCACTGTCTAAAGTCTGAAACTGTTCAAAACTTAATTTCAATGCCTGAACACAGCTGTGCAAAACAAAACTGCAAATATTTCTATTTATATATATTCTCTGTGTGAATTTGGAAGTCTGTCACATTTTACGGGCCTTAAAAATTTTGTGATAATACAGTAATAAAGTCCAAATGTCCTCAAATTAATACTTTTTAATTAACAGCGTCTTAGCTTGTTACTGTTGTTTACACGGGTCAAATTTGTGTGCAGCATTAATATTATTAATTATAGATGTTATTACGCACAAATAAGTTTAAACCCTAAAAAATCTGATCAGGAACCTTGCCCACTTTTGTGTTGACATCAGCTGCAGACTAAGTTAAGCAGAATGAAGTATAAGGTACAGCAAATCCAAATATGATCATTTTTTAAATTAATTTCTGAGCGCTGTGTATTTACACATATTTATTTGAGCACCTACACTACGCCGAACGCTGCACATTTGCTGTTTTCTGCTCAACAAGAGTTAAAACATGACTTTACAACTTTAGGTAAAACTGCAGCAAATCATCACTATCCCTTTTTATTCAGTTGTCCAATCACAATGGAGGAGGGGCGGGTCTAATACCACAAACACCGCTGAGCAACAACAACAATGGAGGAGAAATTAATACTGAACCAACACAGACCGGTCGGACCGTCCTCTCTCCCTACGTGCTTCAGCCTTCCCTTCATCCAGAGCAGGTACTCCTGCATCAGAGCAATCACATGCAACTAAATGCTGCACCCTCATTGAGCTTCTGCATTTAACAGTTAACAAGTATTTAATTTGTTTTAATACTGTGTCATCCTGGTCTTTTAAAAAAGCAACAGTGTACCCTGATAACAGCCGAACAATAAAGCTTAATTGCAAGGCATTAAAATCAGAATAAATTAACTGATTTGCAAAAATAACAATATCATGCTGTTGAGCCATCTTTAATCACCACAGGGGAAATTGTTTCACACCGACGGCCTTATAAACAATATCAAACCAGATATCAGACCAGATAGAAAATATTCACACCCTATATTTGTGTCCCTCCTCGTGCACAAATCTTATCCTGCTCCTACAAATCCATACAGATGCCCTCTCGGTGGTCGACTCGCAGCCTGTGCAGCACCAGAATCTGTTTTGTGCTTTCCCAAATCTTTTGTCATCATTATACCTCCATACACAGGCTCCCAAAAAGAAGTGGGAAAAAAAGGCATCTGGACGACCTTAAATACCCTCGGCTGAGAACCGATGCTGCGTTCACTAGCTCCTTGGAAACTCTCTCTTTGCATGATGTAAATATGAGTTGTCGTGCATTTGAGTGCTGGTTTGGGAATAAAACAAGGCAGTGTCGACGAAGTATCGAAGTGTTTACTGCGTTTATGCTGCTGCTTTAATGTGTGGAGGGAAATTAACGATTTGCACGAATCGAAACGTGTTTAAATGCCACGTGTAGCATGGAGAAATATTCATATTCATATACTTTTAATATTTCTTTGACTTATTATTAAAGAAATCTATGAAATCCTAATGAAATCTGATGATGCTCGATGTCTGAAATGCTTTGTGTGCAGCTGTTGTGCATACATATGCAACATTTTAATATTTCTAGTCATTGCCTGCTTTTTTTTTGTTGCACCAAACAGAAAAAATGCATTTATATATATGTTGTAAATATTACTTACAACATTAGCTGGTGTCATAGTTTCAATGCTATCCGCCCCTTGAGCCTCACATCTCGACACGCAGGATAAAAACTCCCACAGTCACCTTGCCGGATCGTTCATGCGCGACCACTCTATATTCTGACAGCCTTTGAAGGCATCATTTTATGCTCATAAGGTAACATGTCACCTATCACACTTCAAACTACAGCCAGGGAAAACATTACAGTTAATAATCATTTGCAAACAGGCCCAACTGACTTCACACTCACACAGAAAATCTCTCCTCACATTAATGCCTCATGTTTTGTCACATGAAGCATGAACACACAACTTCAGTTTGTGCAGTGTTGGTGACACACTGAGGTGTAATGTGCAGGAGTCCAACCTTTAAGGTCACTAATGCACTGTCTAAGTATTGCTTATTTTGCATGCCAGATGTTTATCGAGCGCCTCTGTTAAGTTGATGTTGCCAAAACGAAAGCAAAGATTACATCAGAAACGGTGAGCTGGAATATATTTCCGACATATAGTCCAGCTCACATGAAGTAAAAGTGAAGTAGAGCCTGTCAGAGGAGAATTATCATAAGCTGATAGGATGCCACAGGCTTTGAGGGACACGATAACTTGGGCCCATAAACCAACTCCCTCAAGTCTTCATAAAAGCTAGCCCGGATACGTGCTGTTGTCTTGCACTGGCAGAACCTCAACATAATATCTGCCAATTTAATCTGCTCTCGCTTTTTGGTAAAATCAGCTTCATAAAACAACAGCTTTTTAGTGTGTTTTTTAATCATTACAACCCAGTGTTAAATTCGGCGTGGATAAAACACACCAGAAATATAATAAAACCTCAACTTTTATGATCAGCTCTTCTTTTATGCCTGCTATCTCACCAAAACAAAATACACCATCGTGGGCGTAGAGGAGCGGTGTCAAGCAATAATAAAGTTTAAATATCATAGTGATAAAGTGCTGCTTGCTGGATAAATTATACCCCGAATTGTCATTTAGACTGAAGTTATTCTGGAAAGGTCTAAGACATGTTCACCCAGGTGTGAACCGACCGCCGATTGGCAAGGAAGCACTGAATTGCAGGAATTTTGAATGTAGTTCGGCACATGTTATTCCCTCCATTGGCAATAAATAACACATTGGTGGTGATGTTAACAGCGTGAACATGTATATGAACATTTGCCTCAGCACGCGCAACGCACGGCCATCTAGCTGTTATTACTGTCAAGCACCCAGTTTTTGGAGAGGCTGTCATTGGCTAGACTGCTGTCAAAAATACCCCAAAAATGAAAACATACCGCATATGCAAGACGAGATCCTTTCCCAATATTATTTGGAGTCCCAGTGCCTGTGCATTCCTCCTCAACTGGAACCAGTGATGATCTCCGTCGGCTAAACTGAACGGGACACAGCGCCAGGGTTTAACCTAAAATGACCCGCGCTGGTGCAAATCAGGCGAGAGCTGCGCGCGTGTCTGCGTGTGCACTGTGTGAGTGTGTGCGTGTGTGTGTGAAGTGAGAGTAGTATGGGCTAACAGTGTCTGCGGCTACGAGAATCTGTGTCTCTGCACGCAAAAAACTTCAACATGGAGCCGAAAACAAACGTTAAAAAGCGGCACAGTAACGAAACTGACAATTGTAGCGCCCCGGCTGCTCGCTACGGGGGATCAGGGAGCCGAATCACGGGCAGGAACCGAACAAAATAAGCCTCGCCCTTATTACTAACTCCCAAGTTTTTTTTTGTTTTTTTTTGTTTTTTTTTTTTTACGATGGCGGTTGGGTGTTTTTACAGTAGGCCTGGTACATGCCGACAGAGCAGGAAACATAACGCTCAAACTTAGTGTGTGCGTGTGTGTGTGTGTGTGTTCAAGGAGAGCAGAGGAAAGATGTTGATCAAATTATTAATTATTATTTTCTATTATTGGCAACAAGTCTAAAAAAAAAAATCACTGTAGGCCTAGTGTTATTTAAATTAAATTAAAATAATATTAATTACAATTAAAATATTTAACAATTCATATTTTTATTCTCATTATATATTAATTTTGTTGTTACAGATTTTTTGAGATGGTCAGCGTGTATATGTATGGAAGCCAACAGCAGCCTTTACTGCAATAATTTTTTTAATGCTGTTATCTGAAAATCACAATTTAATTATTATTATTATTATTATTATTATTATTCGCTATTGGGTTTTGCTCTATTACCCAAGATGAAAAGATAATCACAAACAGGTTGTTTCCTCTGATTAGGCGACTCATATGAGATTATGAGGCAATGCCAGCAGCGTGAATGGCGTCTTGTCACCTGTAGTGACCGGAGTTGGGTATAACGCGTTACAAAGTAACAAGGCCTTGAGATGTGTTGGTTTGTTGGACTTTGCCTCATCTTTTCTTTTCTTTTTTCTTTTTTTTTTTTTTGCTGTGTGTTTTTGACTCGTTAGATAAGCTTTTCCAAAGTAACGCGTTAGAGTACTTTGATTACTTTTTGCAGTAACGAGTAACCTAATGTGTTAGTTTGCTGTTTGAGTAATCAAATACTTAAGTACATTTTACCTTCTAAAAGTTACTTCCGTTACTTTTAGAAGGCTGGTCCTTCAGCTCTGAAACAGCAACAGCTGTCGTTTGGTTCTAATAACGGAGATAACGTTAAACCTATCAGTCTGAAAGAAGCCACGGAGCTTGTGGCTCGCTACGTGGTCGGAGAAATGCTGCCGTTGTCTACGGTGGAGTCTAAATAGGTGGAGTAGGACTCGCTGACAGACATATTTCAGACTCAGGACTTGCATTATGCCTGGTACACGCTACACGCTGGTACTCACCAATTATCCCCGGTCGTCTTTCACGGCGTGTGTGATGTCATCGGGTTATTCTTGTCCTATTTTTATTACTTTCACTATTATTTGAGTCACTGTGTCTGTTCATGTGCCAGCCGACATGTTGTTGTAGTCACCTAAAAGCGTCAGCAGATGGCAGGAGCTACATTTGAAGCGCCATACGTAAACTATCAAGCTACTGTATCTTCCACAGGAAGTTCTGACAAATGTTTCAGAATAAAAGCCTATTTAGAAAATGGAGGGATTCTCTCAGCCGAGGTTATAAGGGGCTTTTAATTTGAAACAAGTGTTGAGTTTGAAATGACGGTGCGATATGTTAACTTTACAAAGACAACGGAGCGGATAAAAAGTAAATATATAAACACACAGAGGGATTAATAAATAACGGACCGTCTATAATGTAGTTTGTTTCAAATGAAGCTGGGAGCCTCTGCAGTTGTGGTGAGTAAAAGCCCCGCCGCTATTTGTTAATGTTATTACTTTATGTCTGACCGTGAGGATGTACCATTGTTTGCTAGCTTGATGCTAATGACAGTAACGTTAACTCAGCGGGTTGACAAAGTGCCTCTGCTGTTTCACACCATCATTTCCCCCTTTTACTCTGTGTGGTAACATCCCTAGAGGAAATATTAAAAATGCTGGGGTGTTGTTGTCATAGCTACAGTTGTCTACGGCAGCAGATCGTTCTGTGTTTCTACTGGTCAAAGTGATGGCTGTGATGGGAGAATTGGATCTCAGTGAAGGGCAAGTGGTCCATAACTTTAATTCTGGAGACAAAAAAATGTAGGCTTAGCGCCCTGTGGTCCATTGCCCAATAGGAAATGTAGAATACTCAAAAGTACTTTAAAAGTGCTTGAGTTACTTTTCTCAGGAAGTAACGTTGGAAGTACTTTTAAAGTAATTGAGTTATTTTACTCAGGGAGTAACGCAGTAAAGTAACTGGTTACTTTTTTAAAAAGTAACACAGTAAAGTACTTTGATTACTTTTAAAGTAACCCTTACCCAGCACTGGTAGTGACTGATATAAGTTCAATCAGGAGAGACAGGAGGATGGAATACAGATTAAATTTAATGCGAAATATAGGTGTACAGATTAACAGGGAGATTATGTGAGATCATGGGACATCTGTGGTGGTGGCTGATGACTTCATAGATGACCGATGAAGCGCAATGAGGCTGCATCCGAGGAGGGTGGTGATCAGGAGCTGGAGGGTGCAGCATGAAAGGCCTGTGGGCAGAAAAAGAACCATATTTAAAATGAGGAGCAGTGAGATGATAGGCTGACGGAGAAGGTGTGTCGCTGTGCTAATGGTTGATTGTAGATCAGCTGTAGAAAAGCTGATGACTCAATCGACAGCCCCGAACACTGACAGCCAGAGATGGAGAGTGAGCATGCGTGCGAGGAGTGAGTAGCGGGGTGAGGAAGAAAGTTACAGCCTAAGCTCGTTTCACAGCTATCTGGCAAGCAGCAGGTATCATCTCAGGTGTTATGGTAATTAAGTGGTAGCACAAAACGTCTGTGCATGTGCCAAATGCACTCTTGGTAGTTTCGTGGCCAGACCCCTTAGTGCACCTGTGGCACACTTGGGCTCAGGATGGGATCAGAAAGAAGGCATTAGCATTAGAGGCTGTGATGATCGCGTCTTATCACATCCACTGCTTTCACAGGGCTTTCCCGTCATGATGACACACTACCAGCGTGGGAATCTTCTGGAGAGTTTTCCACAGAGGGAACTTATTTTTGTCTGACTTATTTTCTTATTTTCAACATTAATTTTTAAACCGCATCATGTTGCTCATCACAGCCACACATCTCCCAGTATTATAATTAAAAATGTGGAGCTCTAGGCCACGTTTTAACCCTCCCAGTCCAGACAAAGATGATGCATGCAGCTGTAACCCCAGTCTCTAACCCCTGTCAATCCTTCACACAGGAACACACAGTCCCTGGGGAGCTGTGAGCAGAACAGGATGTTTTAAGTGATTCACAATTGAGCTGTGTGAACTATTTTCAATGCGTCAGTCTCCAACACCCCTGTTGATGTGCAGGAGAAACTGTGCAGAATAATTAGCTTGATCAAAAATGACACATTTGATTTGCACAAAAGCTCAGGGTGATTTGTGGTAACTTTACAACAGTCTGACGCCGGTTGCACAAAACGTAACCAGCGGATGTGCTGTGCGTAATCGTGGCTCGACACAGTGCACAACACCACTCCAGTTAAAGAGATGGAACAGATACCTGCTGCCTTCAGATAAGCTGTAGAGAGTCACCAGTGTGAAGGAAAGGCCCAAGCAATAAGGCGCACCAGAGGACACGAGTGTTGATCAGTAGTTGGTGCTCCTTAATCTGACATTTTCATCTTAAATCAATTGTTAAAGCTTTCAAGACTCCACCCTTGCATGCTGGCATGGCAGCCCTGATCTCCAATAAACATTATAAGCAGTCTAACAAGGGGAAATTACCTTTGTGATTATCTCGTTATCTCAAGATTATGAAATAATTAGCTCATGATCTCACAATAATGGCATTAAAAATATAATTGGAAGCACAGCCGTTCTTGGTTTCTGTATGTACATGCATGTGTGCTCAGTACATCATAATGGACAAGAAAATGTCATGTAGATCACCAAACTAGACCATCAGACTATGGCCAAGCTAGCATCTGTATGAAGGGTGGAAAAATAAAAAGGGCACCAGGAGCATGCTGTGGAGCACCAGCAGCCAAAAAGTTTTCTACCATAGTCTTTATGGCACTACATCATGTTTTCTACATTTTAAGGCCACATTTCATCACATTTTCTCCACTGGGAGGACACCCTAAATGGCCTTCATCCCAAATTTCTCCATTGGAAGGGCACCCTAAATGGCACTCCATCATGTTTTCTCTAGTGGAAGATTGCCTGAAATTGCACTTCATCACATTTTCTCCAGTGATAAGGCACCCTAAATGGCCTTCATCACATTTTCTCCACTGGAAAGGCACCCTAAATGGCACTCCATCATGTTTTCTCCACTGGAAGGGCACCCTAAATGGTAGTTCATGATGTTTTCTCCCCTAGAGGCCCACCCTACATGGCCTTCATCATATTTTCTCCGCTGGAAGGGCACAACAGAGGGCATTTTCACGTTTTCTTCACTGGAAGGGCACCCTACATGGCACTTCATCACATTTTCTCCACTGGGAGGACACCCTAAATGGCCTTCATCCCAAATTTCTCCACTGGGAGGACACCCTAAATGGCCTTCATCACAATTTCTCCATTGGAAGGGCACCCTAAATGGTAGTTCATGATGTTTTCTCCCCTAGAGGCCCACCCTACATGGCCTTCATCACATTTTCTCCGCTGGAAGGGCACAACAGAGGGCATTTTCACATGTTTTCTTCACTGGAAGGACACCCTACATGGCACTTCATCACATTTTCTTCATTAGAAGAGCACCCTTAAATGGTACTCCATCATGTTTTCTCTACTGGAAGATTGCCCGAAATTGCACTTCATCACATTTTCTCCGCTAGAAGGACACCCTACATGGCCTTTATCACATTTTCTCTGCTGGAGGGGCACAACAGAGGGCATTTTCACATGTTTTCTTCACTGGAAGGGCACCCTAGATGGCATTTTCTTTACCGGAAAGGCACCCTAAATTGTACATCTCTAAATGGCCCTCATCACATTTTCTTTATTGGAAGGGCATTCTAGAGGTCACTTTATCACATTTACTTGTTTCAGAATTGAGTTTGCCAGGGGGCTCCACAGTGGCCCCACCTGTATTGGCCACAATGGACTTCATATGGGATTTGACTATGCTACAAGTGGGGCCCAGTTGGCTTACTTACACAAGACTCAAAATGGGCTCCATCT